ACAATATTTCAAAAATCCTTTTATAGTCAAAATCATAACTCATTTTTTAGTTTCCGTGGCTTTAACTTCGGTTCACTTATATAACCATAAAAGGGTTATATATGTATTTTGAGAGCACCCGTACCCCCTCCCTCTCCCCACTCACACATTACAACCCCATACATACCTGAATGACAGATTACCCTCATGTTTATACCGGACATTGAAAGCACAGCAAAAGTTAATTTACCTTTAATTAGAAAATATAATTAATTAGTGTATAATTGCATTGAAAAACAACCGATCGATACATCATTTGTTTTGTGGGTTTTTTGGGCAGAGGTTTAAGCGATGGGTAAAAATAAAATGCTTTTAAAATCACTTCTCCTATGCATTAGGTATACATTTTTGATGGATATTTGTCTGAAAATCTCGTTTTTATGCATGAATTTTGTGGTTAAAACCGTATGTTTTATGTATTAAAAGTGTAGTTATTTTTTAGCTTTGGTTTTTATATGCAAACATTTAATCCCAGAGGAGAGAGAGAGAGAGAGAGNGAGAGAGAGAGAGAGAGAGAGAGAGAATTATTATGTGTACATTGAAGTTTTAGTTAAATTTTAGTTTATTTTGTTGAAAATACAAACTTTTTAATTTATTTTAGATGAAAAGATAAATAATAAATGCTTTAATTTGAGATAAAAACTAAATTAACATTTTTGTGTTGGTTTGCTATGCATTCATACAAATTACTTATTATAAACGCATGAATATTAATTACACGAATTTTAGATGAAAAGATAAATAATAAATGCTTTAATTTGAGATAAAAACTAAATTAACATTTTTGTGTTGGTTTGCTATGCATTCATACAAATTACTTATTATAAACGCATGAATATTAATTACACGAAATAAATATTTACCATGCACAAAACCACACTCACTGATGTTATATTAACTCGTTATAATGAATTTTCTATTTACTATAGGAATAATAAACTCATAAATACATTACACACATGATTTGTTACACAAATTCTTGCAAATATTTGCAAAATATTTTTAGACAAATAACATATACTGTTGCTTTAAAATTAAATATGATAAACCAAACCGATAGAACCATCATGATTATTACTAAATAATCATGTACAATTATCATAAATGCTAAATATTTTGCTGTCAACATTACTTTACAAAGTATTATATGTTTTTACTACCAAAACTATAAGCCTTAATAATACAAAAGCCTTTTTCTATGTTTGGCTGCCGTTTGTATATTTGCCGTATATTTAATTTAAACCCATTTTTTGTATTTAAAACTAATACTTTTCATTTCTATGTAATATTAATATTATAATCAATGTTAACATTTTAATTATAGATTTAAAACATTAGCCGTTAATACTATTATAAGATTTGAAACAACAAATCATATTAACATTGATTTCTTTATATTTTCCGCCTCACAAAACACACAAAACCCCTGTTATCTGTGGCCAACCCATACCCCTATATCCATACGATACCCTTCTGTCATAACATAACCAGATTCGCCCGACTGTGTCGAGTGCAAGGCTGTGCTCGAGGACCTGGAGAACATCGACTCGGACACCGATCGACATGGAATTATATGTAATTATAAAATAAACTATAAATATAAATAAAATATTACATAAACTGCAGGCAAGAAATAGATGTAGAGATTAGATAACGAGTAGATATACAACGAGATAAAACTAAGAGATATTTATACCGCCAGCCATGAGAGATAGGGGTGCGGACAGTTCGCCCGAGTATTTAATGATCATCATGATTATTTAGTACATTGATTAGCGGTACTTATTATGATTATTATTAATAGGGCTTTTTAAAAATGCTAATTGGCTACACTAATATTTCATCTTGTTAATGAGCTTTTTTTCCACTACTGTCCCAACACTTGACACATGCCATCCCTATCTGATCCCATCTTCGGCTCCCCGACAGTCGTGAAGACGGCTGAGACAGAGATAGCCCGCGAGTATGGCATCAAAGAGCTGCCGGCGCTCATCTACTTTGAGCGCCAGATTCCCAGCGTATATGAGGGCGATATGCGGGCCGAGGAGGACGTACTTCAGTGGCTCGTCCAGCAAAAAACGGAAGACACCATCGAGTCGGTCAATCGGGAACTACTGGAACAGCTCATTGAGACCACACAGTATTTGGTCGTGTTTTTCTGTACGTGTAATTTATAGTTAACTAGATGTTTATAATAAACGTACAGTGCACATTATTTTAACTGTATAATTAACTAATAATTAGACAATTATTTTTCATGCATATTTATCTGCGTTTAACTAATTACTCTAAATATGCCGCAGATAAGCCGAGCTGTCGGGCGTGCGATATAGTGCTGGACGAGTTGGAAAACATCGATGACGATTGCGAGATATATGGCATCAACTTTGTGAAGATCCAGGACCAGCCGCTGGCCAAACGGTACGGCATTAAGACATACCCGGCGCTCATATACTTTCGTAACGGCAATCCACTCATCTATGATGGTATGTATTGATCCGTTTATTAACATTTCATGTGAAAAAACTATCGGAAAAACATTTTGTAAATTAACAAAAACATACAAAATTACCCTTTGACTCCACCCCCCCCCCCCCCCCC